GCTATATCATCTGGGTGTAGTTTTATTTGACAGAATCCGCTAGTCAAATACCGACTTGTGAAATACATACACTTGCCAAACTTGTCTAGTATTTTTTTTCCGTTTGGAAGGGAATATCTGTCTGAGAGAATTTATTCATTTAATCTATTTTAAGCAGCTACCAACATCTATTTCTGTTTTCCACCAGCGTTCATTTTCTTTAGTGATATCCAAACAGAAAAGCTCCAAGGCGAATGTCCTTATTAAATAATTTCTTGTTAGCATTTAATTTGATGTTTAACCTCCTATTTAAGAATTTTTGAAAAGTATATACGTGAATATTGGAATATCATTCTTTCTGAAGTTTCAGTGTTTTATTTTGTTTGTAAATGTTATATTATCCTGTCCTTTATAAACCACATGTTTAATCTTTTTACAGATTTTCACTACTGCCTCTTGCTTTACTGTTTAGATATGTTAATCTCAGAAACTGTTAATTATTCATTTGGTCCTTGCTTGTTAATTTGGTAGCACCGCACAGTTGGATTCTACATGTACATAACAGTTTTATCAGTTTCATTGTCGTTTTGAATAATTGCAATTGATATGAATATCTGCGTAATTTTAATTTGTTCGGTTTCATTGTCAATTCGATTTAGTACTTGGCTAATTTGATCTTGAAGTTGACCAAGTTGATTATTAATAGTTTCTTTATCACGTTTAAGTATATTTAATGTTGAATCTATTATGGAGGTTTGAATCTGCAGCAATCTAGCAATCTAGGTGAGTATCATCTTCCTTAAGCTGATATATTGTTTCTGCCATATCCTCTGCGTAATTTGAGTCCAGAACTCCAAATAAAGCCTTTGCCACATTTCCTATGAGATTTATGGCTCCTCGTTTATCTCATCTGTTGTTTAATAAAATCTTCTCCTGTAGAATATCATCTCTTGTGTGCTCAAACGTACCTACGAGCGTGTGACAAGCCGAACCCTGCTGTAGTTTGATACACAATTTATTTAGTGCAAAAATTCCATTAACGAATGTGTTATATTGAGTCTGTACCGGAGCTAATTCATACTAAAGAACCATTTTCCATTCACCTGTTACCATCTGAACAGTGCCCATATTTTCGAAGTAGAGACCGATACTTGAATTAAGCTGTGTTGTGGTTACAGGATTGCCCAATATAATTGGCAAAAAGAATATTGTGAGAATGATTGCAAATAATGTTGTTTGTTGGGGCAACTTTATCTTTTTGATGGAACGACCAAGGTATCTTCCTGTCTAATGTTTAAATGATGTTTTCGATTTTCGTCTTCCACTTTATCTTCTCGAAACAGTGGAGCAAGCCAATGAATAGGCCGTTTACAAATTCCTGCAACTGTTTTACTTCCACTTCTCGTACCATGCCATCATCGTCGTTATACACTTTCGTAACACAACCTAAGGACCAGTTGAGTGGAGCTGTATTGTCTTCCTTGATTATGACCATCGTGTTTTCTTTGACCTTGTCAACAGGAACCTTCCATTTATGTCGCTGTTGTAGTTCTGTTAAGTACTCAGTGTTCCATCTTTTCCAAAATTCAAGTCTCAAGTGAGAAACCAATTTCCACCTGGTAAGTAGGTTATGACTTGTCCCATGAACGTTGGTATCTATAGGTGCAGTGAGTGGTTCACCAATAAGGAAGTGACCTGGTGTCAATGGGGCAAGATCGTTTGGATCTAATGACATTAGTGTTAATGGTCTTGAGTTCAATATTGCTTCAATTTCCACAATGATCATTTCCAACTCTTTATAGGTTAATGAAGGTGTTGATGTACTTCGAACTAAATGATATTTAGCTGATTTAACAGCTGCCTCCCAAAGACCCCCGAAATGTGGAGTTCGGGGTGGAATGAATTTAAATGTGATTAATTTATCACTGCATGTTTGAACTATTTTATTTTGAACAGAAGTTCTACGTAGCAGTTCCGATAATTCATTTAATTTATTGTTCGCACCAACAAAATTTGTAGCATTATCACAATGCAACGTCCTCGTCGAGCTATGAATCTCTTCAGTGCACCAATAAACGCATCAGAAGTTAAGTCGCTCACCACTTCTAAATGGACTGCTTTTGTGGCAAAACAACAAAACACTGCTACATAAACCTTGTGTGGTCTTTTTCCTCTGATTTTGTAGTGAACCCAAAATGGTCCACAAAAATCCAACTCCTCCTGGTGGTAGCTGACCCATTATTTGTTGAAATGTTGTTGGTCGGCTTCTTGTGCAGCGGACACAATGTTGAACCGTTGATCGAGCCATTATCTTTCCCTTGATGGGCCAAAATTGAAGCCGGATTTGTGACAATAATGCTTGTGCACCACAATGCATGTTTTTTCTATGAACATCAACGAAAACACTTTTCACAATTGGATCATTATATGGCAATACCATTGGATGTTTGGTATCATAACCTATAAGTGATGATGAAAGTCGACCTCCGACTCTTAAAATTCCGTTACTATCTAAGAATGAACTTAAACTAGAGAAAGAACTAGTTTTGTGAACTGTTCCATTTGAGTGTAACTGCTGCAATTCTTCCCTGAAATCGCTTTGTTGTATTATACGTATGATTACTTGTAATGATGAGTTCAACTCGTCCGGACTTAGTATTAAAGAGGTAGTTTGCCTGTTGTCTTTGCCTTTGGAGTATTTTACAAATCGTAGTGCGTACGCAATGATTCGTTGCAATCTTGCAAACGAGTTTCTATAATTGATCTTATAGATGATGTCTTCAGTAATGCTGCTGACTGCTGAAGTTACGATTGAAAATTGTGGTTAGCATTGCATTTCAAGCGCCCTCCCTTTGGTTTCAGAATGATCAGTTATAAGATGTTTCTGAGCAATTGGACCTGGCCATGATGATTCCCTTCCATATATAAGCAGTGGTCCAAAAAACCACATGTGACTAGAATGTAGTTCCGTAGGTTGTAAGCCCCTGGATAAGTGATCTGCTGGATTTAATTTGGACCTTACATGACGCCATTGGCTTGCATTAGACATTTCATGAATTCGTGGTACTCTATGTGCTACAAATGTTTGAAAAATATTTTAGTTAGAGTTGATCCATAAAAGGATTTATGGTTATCGTATGCAAAATCTTGTTTAACTTTCGCTAACAGTTGGGCTCCAGTGCTGCGCACAATTCTAAACGCGGAATTGTTCGCCTTTTTAATGGCGCTACTCTTGATTTTGAGCCGTACTATGATTATACCAGTTTTTAGAATCGCTCTTACATAGATTGCTGCTCCATATGCCTTTTCAGATGCATCAACAAAGCAATGTAATTGAATATCTGATGGAATTTCGTGGTTAAAAACATGTCTTGGAATGATCATATTAACATACTGCTTAACTTTTTACATTGGTCACAGTTTACGGTCTCTATTTTGGATATTAAATACACTTTTTGCTTCAAATTTTTTTTCCTTTAATCTCCTCATGAATTTCTTTACTATCTTCTCCTGCCTCTATGCATTTTATTACTACAATTAGTTCTTTACTACTTTTTAAATGATAAGTATAAAACTGTGACTTTTCGAAAATGATCTTAACTTGTACCTTCGTTTTATTTATCATTCCCTTTCTAATAGGTACAACAAAAATTTTTCTTACCTATTAAATTTGAAAGTGTATTAACTAAAGCAGTAGAGTTTTTTTCTCTTATGTAGATAGGCAATGGTTTAAGGATTTTTTCTTTGATTCCTGCTAAGTTGTCGCTTTCATCACTCAATGCTTTAAATTTATTGTTGTAGTTATTATTGTTGACTTTTTGAATTTTGTCACGATTGTTTGAGTTTTTTGTGGGCTAAGTTTTCGCTTGACTATTTGAGTATATCGTTCGATTCCTGTTTGCACTTTTGCTGATTTATTAACAACGTTGATATTTTTGTTTGGAAATTCGGACGTATTCCCGGAATTAGGAGTTTGACATTGAACACTCCACCGCAGAAACGATAGACATCATAGATAGACTTAATTTTTATTCCTGTTCCTGAGAATGTTGCCACTGTATTTGATGTTGATCTTGTGGGGTTTGTTATTATGTTTTATGTTGCTGCTCTTGCTGTTGTATTTTCCACTCTTGATTCAGTTGTAAAAGCACGATTTGTTCCAATTAATTTTTTTGTTATTGACAAACAAACTAGGTCAATAAAAGTTGTAGTAAAGAACCTTCATCAATACACTGATAATAGGCCTTTTCTTTTGTAAGCATATCACAAAAGAAGAAATTTTTTTAAGCTTAACAAAATTTCCGGTTCTTCCAGAGTTGCCATTAAAAGTAATACTTATTTTATGTTGATCTTTTGAGACATGCTTACAAAAGAAAATAACTATTATTGTTTATTTCTTCTTTGGTAGTTTTTAAGTTAATTCTAAGATGATGCAACAAAACGGTTTTCCTTTAATGCATTTCTTTAAAATAAATATAAGAAAAAAATTTAAAATCGTTAATTGCATTACAGCTATAACATATTGTATCCTTCGAGTAGACTCAAATTATAATACTCTTATAAAGCATAGTAAGTTTTAGTAGATATTAGCTGCATTCGGCGGATCCTACATTCAAAATTTTCTACCAAAATTTATTACCATGGTTTATAATTCGCATGTTCATTTCAATTTTTCGATAAATATTCCATATTCGATAATAATAATTTATTCTAAACTTATTTTGCTTTGAATTTTGCGCACATATATAGACTTGTTAATTGTTAAAACATAATATTAACAATTTGCAACACTGATGTCAATGCGTCAGCAAGAGAGTTGTTGTTTTTTGCCGCAGCGTCCGTGTTGTTTTTTTGGAAGCGTCCGAATACTCCATTTGAAAATGCTTACAAGTTTCATTTTTTATGTATGCAACATAAAAGCAAATTAGGTTTAATAACTTCAATTATTATAGTATAATTATCTTTTTAAATGTATTGCTACAATTCTGTAAAAAAAATACCTAATGAATATATACTTTCAGATGCTTTGTCACTGTATCCAACTTTATGGGTGGGAACAAGTTTTGGATCAGTCTTGACATTGTTGATAACTATGCCAGACCACGAGCAAAGAAGATGTCAACCTGTTCTAGTTACAATTAACGGTAAGTTAAAAAAATATTGCTGCGCCAATATAAATAAAGAAATAAGACAATTAGAAATAATAAAATTAAAAAGAATTAATAAAATCAGGCCAATATGAACAGAATAAACAAAATGAAAAGATAAAGTTATAACGTTCTTGATATAATTTTTAATACTGCTGATTTTTTGAGTTTTTTTTTTTTTTTACTGAGTGCGTTATCTAAAACATAACTGATAAACTAAAAATAATAACAACAAAATAGTAGTTCAATTCTTTGACAAAAGTTCGAATTGTGAACCAACGACTAAAGTTGATCTCAAATCAACTAACAATTTTCAGAAACAAAGTAAATGCTAAACCTACATTGAGTACGTATAATGCAACCATATCCTTTAATTCTCCTGCACAAACTTAATGTGCGTTAAATACAAAATCTGTGTGGGTCACTTAAATGGACCTTATAAAAAGTACAAAAAAAAGGTGTTTTTATTTTTTTTTCTTTGTGGTGTCATTCGCATGCACAGCTGATTTGAAGTGAAGCATTTTGTACGAAAATTTTTGCTTGAGTTGCAACTTACGCTAACAGCTAATAAGAAGTTATATTATCAATACTGACAACATTTTTGAAAGATATAAATTATGACATCGTTTAAAACAGGTAATTAGAGATCTACTCATAAAATTTAATGTAGATATACTGTCTTTTTAGTGCTATTGAGGCTTTAATCTAAAAGTCGCTATTTGAATAAATTTTTTGAGCTAAGCAAATGCAAAGCTGCAAAAGCTCATATATTGTCTCGTCTCGTAGGCAATATAAAATATTAAAACAAAGTAATAAAAAGTTTTATCCATGTTATACTCTAATCCAAAAGGCCAAAAAAGACTGTCATCTATTAAGTTTAGCATACAAAATCACTGCTATTTGTGCTAAAATCAGTTTACAATATCTTTTCATCATACAGCAACAAGACTATTGGAATACTTTGAAGAAGTGATTAAATCATTAGAACAGAATGATTTAAAAAACTTAGCACTCGTTTATAAGCGGGGTTGTGATGGATCACAGCAATCTCAATACAAGCAAAAATTTGACATTGAGTTCGATTTGGATACGAGTATTTTTCTAAGTTCGTTGGTACCATTGAACCTAATATTATCAAACACTCATAAAGTGAAACGGCACAACCCAATTCCTTCTTCACCACGCTATTGCCGTCATATCCAGTTCCGTCCGGTTTACTATTATTAGGTATACGAATACGTTTTGCCGAAAAGTCACATTAAGAAACTGAAATATTTTTTATTATTATGATAATATTTATCATATTTTTAATATTATAATAAATAATATTTATTTGTTTCAATATCCTACTCGAATTCTGAATTGAGACGAGCACCTTGTCATACATTTGCAATATTTCGTCAAACACAATGTATTTTTTTTACATAGGATTGATTATTTTGTTAATTTTTTTGTTTTAGCAACTTTAAAAGTCATGAAGTAGCTTGACATTACATTTTGAGTTGAAAATCGCACAAAAATAATTTTGGCCGCCTAAATTGGTCAATACCCCTGTGTGCGGCGAGCATTTTTTTTTTAGATCAGTGAATAGCTAGTAATCGCAGGGATGAGGAAGCAATTCGAAGTGTAATTCAATTTTGCAATTTTGCCATCGTTTTTACTGACTTGTGACATGGTGCATTGTCTTGATGAAACAAAATTTTTTTCTTCGCCATATGCGGTCGTTTTTTCACAATTTTTGCTCCAGTAATGCCATGTAGTAGTTACTATTATTGGTTTTCCCTTTTTCGAAATAGTCAATGAAGATTATACCATGTGCATCCCATAATACTGAAGCCATAACCTTCCCAGCTGACTGTTGTGCCTTTGGACGATGATTGATGATTGTTTTGATTCCGGAGTGAAGTGATGGATCTATGTTTCATCCACGCAAAAAATCTGTTTTATTACGTATAAACATTGCCAAACACTGCTCTGAATCATCAACACGTTGTTGTTTTTGATCGACTGTGAGTAAACGCGGCACTCACTTTGAAAAGAGCTTTCTTATAGTCAAATCTTCATGCAGAATTGTAAACACACTGCCATCTGATATCTTTATGGTCTCAGTTATCTTACGCAATTTCAATTTACGATGAAATATAACCAATTTCTGGACTTTTTTAATCTTTTATCCAGTAACCACCTCTATTGGACGACTAGAACGTTCACCATCATCGGTTTCTGTACGACCACGTTTAACTTCAGCAAACCAATAACAAATGGTTCTTTTGGGTGGAGCAGAGTCCAAATAACACTTTTGAAGCCATTGCTGAGATTGTACAGTATTTTTTTAAATCAAGAAACAAGGATAAATTAACACACGAAATTGTTTTGAATTCATTGTTTTGAAAATAACAAAAGTAGCTTCACTTAAATGGCTGTCACTTTTTCCTGACTAATTGAAATGTAATGATATTTTTCACATAGTCTTTTGAAGGTTGGTACTTCATAAACGTCATATGGATTTGACAATAACAGCGCCATCTGTGTGTCAGTCACACGACTTATTAAGTGACGTGTTATAAGCATGTATCGATGTATCATTTCATCGATGAAGAAAAAATCCCTCCTGCGAATATTGCGAAATACTTGGGTATGATATTAGCCACAAAACTAAGATGGCGCGAGCACATACAAAAGAAAACAACCGAATTAGATCTAAAATTCAAATCGTTGAAATAGCTGATGGGCAGAAAATCAAAATAATCACTCTTTAATAAACTACAAAGAAATGCTGCAGCCAATCTGGACATATGGAATCTAGCTTTGGGGTTGTGTAAGCAGAATACAAATTTCCATTACTTAAAGATTCCAACATTTTTTGCTATGCAGTGTATCACGCCAAGGTAAGTGCAAAATTCTGACTTGCATCGTGACTGTGGAGTGTTAACAGGAAGAAATTCACACTAAAGCAAAATTACACCAGGAGAACCCTGTTTGCACATAAATACTGAGGCATATTTACTAGCGACAACTGAAGCAATACACTGTAAAGCGCCAATAGCCTTGCCATCTTTGAACTTACATTATTGATATGTACTACAGTTGATTTAATGTTGCGTGAAATCGCCTAAATTTGATTAAATTTAAATTGCTTTTTAGTTATCTAATAACTAGTTGCTGTTTGTTTCTGTTTTTTATTTATTTAATTCCTTAAATAATGAAACTAATTAAAAAAAAAAATGTAGAAAATTCAATCTTCGTTATTATTTTTATGACATTATGATTTCGAAAACATAACCGCCGAGCAAACAGTATGATTGGGTGTGTTTTAGTATGGGTGTGCCATTAGGGTGGCTCACGTTATAAGGGGTAAAATTAAAAATGAAGTTTTGAATGAGCGTACCCCCTAGGAATATGCCATTGACCAAAAAAATGAAATTCCCAAAGTTTTGGACCAATAGGATTAAAAATGACGTTGCGCCACTCGAGCAAAGTTGGGTTTTCAGTACAAAAAACAGAAATTGTTCAATTCAAGGTCATTTTTTATCTTTGTTACTTATTTCAGCAGTTATTAATATATACTCGTTTGATAGATAATTAAAATATCTTTTCAATAAGATATTGATGAGCAAAATAATTAGTTGAGCGACTGTGCTCTGCTTTCTATTGGTAAAGCTGGCATGCACAATGTTTACAAGAAACGGAAGAAACATAAATAAAAAATAAAAACAACATAATACATTTCTATTTAATAATTTATATAGATATTTAAGTAGAATTGAAAATGTAGTCTAAACAAGAATTTTTTCGTAAGCAAAGAGAAAATGGTCGTACAGGGAGTATGACTGAAGTTAATATCCTTTTAGCAAACGAAGCAAGAGCGGCTAAAAATTCCATTGATTTTAATTGGAATAAATTCGATGAAGAATTTGTCTTATTAAAAAGACAAATATCATCTTATTAAAAAGATATTTTAATTATCTATCAAATGAGTATATATTAATAACTGTTGAAACAAGTAACAAAGATAAAAAATGAGTTTAAATTGAAAAATTTCTGTTTTTTGTACTGAAAACCCAACTTTGCTCGAGTGACGCAATGTCATTAATCCTATTGCTCCAAAACTTTGGGAATATCATTTTTTTGGTCAATAGCATACTCCTAGGGGGTGCGCTTATGTATATAAATGTATATACGCGATTTGCGAGAATTTGCGCCTCCTAGTAATATAATACTTTGGTACAGAGAACTTATAGCCATCTTCAATATTTGCTTAAGTTAAGAGATAACAGAAAACATATTAGTACTAGAAGCAACCACCAGTATAATTATTGTAAAAGACAGCAGCGTATGAGTTGGGACAGTGCAAGCGCCCGCTTTAAAGATATTGAAATGGTATAAAGTTTACCTAGTGGTATCACATAACGTTTTTAAAGGAATACATTCACCTACAAACAAAGCTTTCATCTATTGCAATGGTCGTATTTTACTCGTAAGGGATGTTCGCAAGAATAATCGATATTACAACCAAAGCTTCTTATGTAACAAGTCTCGCGTAACCGCCACCAGGCAATTTAAGTTAGAAAAGGTAAAACATTTTAAAATACATAGGATAGAACGCTATATCTTGTTCGTTTCACGAATTGAGTTACATATGCAAGTGAGGCAGCATTTTCCACCGCAGCCTACATAAGAGTTAACAACCGAAAAACATAAATATGTTTGGGTTTTGAAAACATCTGAAGTCTGCCGAAAAGTCTAATGTTAATTCTACATTTTAAACTACAAGTTACCTGCATTAGCAACACCATTTGGACACAACACTCGTCGAAAGAATTGCGAGTATGAAAATGTTGAACACCGATCACTTTTAATAAGTGGATTCCAATAACTGCGTGAAGTGAATTGTTAACTTAACTGCGAATCCAAGCTTATCTGATTTCTTTGAACGTCTAATTCATAACATGAAGCATCTATTGTGACACAGTTTAAAAGACGCCATGCAATGGGACGAGACATTTTGCAGCAGTGTTCATCGACGATGAAAACATTATAAATTACTTTGGTACATAAGTTAGATAAGCAAATTGTTTGTGAGATATTAATTATTTTTCCAAAACATATTTTTTTTGGGTTGCGCTTCCTTTGACACTGTATTTCGCCCATAAGTATTAACTTCAGGAATTCAATCCTGATGTTAAAATGATTCAATATCGTGGACCATTAGATATATTAGTATTAAATATGTGCTTAAATATTAAACTTTTTTCTGAAATCTTTAGTTAACATAATATATATTTTTATAAACTGAAAGAGACAATTTCTGAATTGTTTTTTAAATATTTTAAGGTGGCCCAGTTATACGACTAAAAGGTTCCATTACATCAATGTCGTTTTTAGATGCATATGGATCTATTATTCCCTATTCTTTTGAACTTTGGCGAGATGACAGCAGAGACTTAAAAAAAGACCGTGAGTTTTTAAATTTTTTATGAACAATAACCGCAATAATTAAATAAATTTAACTACAAAAAATTTTGTGCAACTGCATTTAAAAAAAAAAGGAAAGTTCATTAAATTGTTCTTGATAAAATAACAAGTAAATAAGTATTTGTTTTTTATTTTAAATCAATGTTTTGCAATTTCATTTTATATTCAATGTATAATTTATATACTTTATATGTTATTTATATATTTTATGTGTTTATTAATTATTAAATTAGATCTATATTTTCTTAATATAAAGAATTATTTTCAATAGAGAGGTTTTAGAGAGGTAGTACATTTCATTGTTTTTAATTAATTGAATTTTTGACGACCATTAGCTATTTATATATATACATTAGATTGGCCATAAGTTGTATGCGAAAAAATTTTTTTTTGATTTTCATATGTTTCTGCTTGTTAAAATATTCCTTTTGATGATAAATTAAGGAAAATAAAATTTCAGATCGATCACATTGTGCCAACCCGTGTCGAGTTGAGCTCAAAGTTGTAAAAGTACCTCAATATAGAAAAAGCCATCAAAATTACTACTTTGCTCGTGAAATATATTACTAACAGTTTTATTTCAGGAATATTTTTGACTAATTTACATTATTTAAATGTTTTTACGTTATGATATTGAATTCACTTACGTCTGTTTATGTTTCCTACATAATTTTTGATACGAAGTAAAAATTGCAACACTGACATGAATTTCGTATTACAAAAGCTGAGTAGTAACATTGCTGTTATAGTTGTTTATTGACTGTCAAATTGACAATGAGAAAAAACTTTAACGATAATTGATCATTTACGTTGCAAAAATTAATCTGAATTGATATGGATTCCGTTTCATCTTTGCAATCAAAATCATCTCTAAAGCGGCTTAGATCCGATGATGATAATATATGGTATTTTTAATAGGAAAATGTGAAAGCGAAGTCTTTGGAGCAAACTTGCCGCCAATGAAGCAAGTATGTTACTTCAACTGCTTTTCTATAAAATTCGTGCTGAACACGTAACCTTGAAACGAAGTTTTAGAAATGTGATTGATTCCGTATTACCATTTTGGCAAAAGGCTCGTATTCCTACTCTAACTGAATCTAATTGCCAAAAAAAATTACAAAAATTGTACGATGAGTGGAGGTTATTACAAAAAAGTAGCAAATCTCCACACGAAAAATGCCGAATCAGAGAAAAAGAGTTCCGTGAAAAGATAGAACATTTTATATCCGATATCGCAGTACCTACTGCTGTTAAAACAATGAATATCCAAGAAGATAAAGATTTCTTGATTCAACAAAGAAAGAAAGACCGACCAGGAAGCATAGCAGGCATTGATAAAAAATTATCACAAAAAGAAAAGCGCAAGTTAGAACTATTGGAGAAACTTGATAAGCGTAAACAGTTTCTTTACGTTTCTTTATTTGTTTTCAATAATCATACATGAAAGTATATTTTTCGAATAGCAGCGACAGATTCTAGACTCGATATTGAGCATAGCGATAATAGTGAAGATTTTATGGAATATCCATCGTTCTCGGAAGTAGCAATAGAAGAAAATATTATAATTGAATACCAAATAGTCATTTACGAGGAAAATTACATTTCTTTGATGATAGAACGCTTGCTTGCATGGATAAATCTAAAATTTCTACTAGAGATGCGATTCATTTCATAAGTGCAACAGCAGCTGCTCGCGTAGAAGATCTTGTTCTGAATCGTACAACTGTCCACCTGATGAGAAAAGAATACCGATGCAGAAAAGCGCATGATATTTTGAAAAATTTCAATGTAAATTAGTTAAAGTTTTTACTTTTTAAGTTTTATTTAAGATATTTAATTGTAGATCCCTCAAGTTTTTGTATTCCATTGGGAAAACTTCTACCAAAAATGAAGGGTAAAAAAAGGTTGATCGACTTGCTCTTGTCGTCACAGGAGAAAAAACCGAAAATATACTTGGTATTTCGAAACTAGATAACAGCACTGGTAACAAAATCGCACATGCAATTCATCAATTTTTAATTACTTGGGAATTAGACAACTTAGTTGAATTTATTTGCTTTGATACAACAAGTTCTAATACTGGTATTCACAAGGGTACCGCCTTTTTGCTCGAGCAGAAATTGGGGCGTGAATTACTTTTTCTCCATGCTGCCATCATATCAACGAAATATTTCTAAAAGCTGTTTTTGTACTGAATTTTGGTACCTCATCGGCTCCAGAAATTTCAATTTTTAAGCGTTTTGCTGACGGCAAAAGAATTAAACGCCATACGCAATATTTGTATTTTTCTAACTCGCTTTTACATACAGTATTGGTTAACATGCCAGCACGCAATTGAAGCGCTACGTAGGGATTTACAACTAAGATGCAATCCAGTAATTTGATAAACGAATTTCAGCGGTTTTATTAGAAAAATTCAAAAATCACTTGTGGTATTTGTCAGAAGAAGCAGTTGGCTCAGCATTTTTCGACTCTGAAGTTCCACTGGATACTAAAGGAAAGATGATTAAGGCTTTGGAATAAAGTAAAGATGACGATATTCCATGTTCAAAAAAATTCGAAACGACAATCGAAGACATAATGAAGCTCGAAGGTAAGGATCTCAGCTATTTTGTTACTTGTAAGACGAAACGATTTTTTCTTCGATTGGAAATTAGCTCCGATTTTTTAAAGTACGATCCGTCATCATGGGGTGAAAGAGGTGATTATTCTTCTGGATTGCAAATTTGTAAAAACCTGACAGTTGTAAACGATCCAGCAGAAAGAGCTGTTAAGTTAATCATTGACTTCAACCGAGCCTTAACATATGACGAAAAAGACAAACAGTATTTATTGCAAGTTGTTGAATATTATCGACACATGTATCCATCGCATACTAAATCGTCACTACTAAGCCGAAAACATGAAAAATGTTAAAAACTATAACAGTAAAACAAACAAAATAGAGTATAATTAGGTGAAAACATATAAATAATGTAAATTAGTCAAAAATATTCCTGAAATAAAACTGTTAGTAATATATTTTACGAGCAAAATAGTAATTTTGATAATTTTTCTATATTGAGGTACTTTTACAACTTTGAGCTCAACTCGGCACGGGTTGGCACAATGCGATCGATCTGAAATTTTATTTTCCTTAATTTATCATCAAAAGGAATATTTCAACAAGCAGAAACATATGAAAATCAAAAAAAAAATTTTTTGCGGCCACTCTAATATACATATATATATATAGTTATATAGAGCTATATATAAATAATATAGGAAGACATATATATGTAAAATATATATATATATATATATATGTTCTATATACTTCTATGTAACCTTTAGATGAACCAGCACCTCTAAATGGACACAAGTTCCAGGACGGTCTAAACTTTCATTTTCTTTAATGTTCCTACAACTAGGAACACAAAAGAAAGCAATGTAAACAAGTTCATTTAGCCCACCAATTTTCACATCATATTCTCTAACTAGCTTTTATTAAACGAAAATTTAGAGAATTCCTAAAATTCTGAGAGAATTTTCATAGATTTTATGCTTAAATGTTCTTTTCTTGATTAAAAAATTATATTAAATCGCTTTCGAAATATGAATATAAAATTTAATTCTTTTTAGCCACATGTTCTTCTGACAGTCTAATAGAGCTTCTGCAAACAAAGTTCTTAATATAAAGATCAGTAGATATGATATCTAAAGAGGGCATTTAAGGAGCTCCTATGATGCCAACACCTACTGTCCTCAGAATTTTATTGGGTTTTTTTTATAGCGCTGGCCTCGATTGGGCTACCAAATTACAACGCCTTGTATAAGTATTGGATGCTCTATGGCTTAATACATTAAATATATTTGCTCATGATGTTAATATGACTAAAGATAAAAGCTGGTTCCTGAACCAAAGACAAAGAGCCATTCAGAAAAGGAAAACAGATTTTCTGTCTAGAATCTTCAAATATGCAATGTTGAACTTCCACAAAACATTTACCAAAAAACGTAGTCTTTTAAAACTGAACTAAAATACACTCTGCTTAAAATATTTTGTGTTGTCTTTATGAAGGTACGCTAGCGCTTGTTGTTGCTTTAAAAAATCTGCATTGTTCATGTGATAAAAATGCAGCGTAACGGAAGAAAATTGCAACAAAGTAAAACGCTCTATTTTGTTTATTTTTGTTTAATTGAATGAGAAATAAATTATAAGTAATATTCGAAAAAAAACTTTAAATTTTTAAGTAAATTTATTTTGGTTCAATATAGACACCTCTAACATGAATTATAGCCTTCAAACGACCAATAAAGCAATTACACGCTGACCGGAAATGACTTTGCGGTATTTTAGCCCAATCTCAGCTTATCGCTTGTTTCACACGATCAACATATTGGTATTTTTTTTTAGTGTCAACCTTAGTTTTTAAAATACCTCAGACCGAAGAATCTAAAAGCGAATATATCAGATGAACACGGTGGCCACTGTGTTGATGAAATAAAGCACGTAACGTTGTTTTTCAACCATTCTTGGTTAAGGCGTGCTTTGTGCGATGGTGGTAAGTCCTGTTGGATTGTCCAACGCCTGCGACCAAAATGCTCATCTGCCCAGGGCTTTAATGCTCCCTCAAAAATAATGTCCCGATAGATTTGTGCGTTTATTTTTACCTATCAGTCGTTACGGTGGCCCACACCATCACCATGGGTAGCGGCTGCTGTCTGGTGGCCATTTTTCACCAAACCTCTCTGACAAGTGAACTCGGTCATTTTCCTTGTTTACGTACTGCTCAATTACGAATGGTGACTCATCAGAAAAAACCAAATTCGACAATCCACCACTTTTGGCCAAACGAACCAACACTTTAGCTCTTTCGACTCTAACTTTTTTGTTCATCAATGGGATCATATAAAGTATATGAGTTCAACGTCAATGGCTTTAGTCTGAGCTCAGTGCGAAGTTTGTTGCAACTCTCATCAACCACCATGTAAAATGATTATTGGTTTTCAACAACAACCCTTA